TCTTTTATATATATATATATATATATATATATATATATATATTTTATTGATTAAGATATTACATATGTGTCCTTGTCCCCACGTTACCCTTCCCCCCCACTCTCCCCCCGCTCATGCCCTCACCCCCCCCCCCCAGTTGTCCGTGTCCATTGGTTAGGCCTATATGCTTGCATGTAAGTCCTTTGGTTGATCTTTCCCCCTTACCCCCACCCTCCCCTACCTTCCCTCCAAGGCCCGACAGTCCAATCAATGCCTCTCCGTCTCTGGATCAGTCCTTGTTCATCAGTTTATGTTGTTCATTATATTCCACAAATGAGTGAGATCATGTGGTATTTATCCGCTCTCCAGTTCCATCCATGCTGTGGCAAATGGTAAGAGTTCCTTTTTCTTCTTCCTCTTCTTAAAGAATACCTTTCAGCATTTCATATAATGCTGGTTTGGCAGTGATGAACTCCTTTAGCTTTTTCTTATCCATGAAGCTCTTTATCTGACCTTCTATTCTGAATGACAGCTTTGCTGGATAAAGTAATCTTGGTTGCAGGTTCATGCTATTCATCACTTTGAATATTTCTTGCCACTCTCTTCTGGCCTGCATGGTTTCTGTTGAGAAATCTGCTGACAGTCGTATGGGTACTCCCTTGTAGGTAACTGACTGTCTTTCTCTTGCTGCTTTTAAGATTCTCTCTTTGTCTTTTGCTCTTGGCATTTTAATTATGATGTGTCTTGGTGTGGTCCTCTTTGGATTCCTTTTGTTTGGGGTTCTCTGCGCTTCCTGGACCTGTAGGTCTATTTCTTTCACCAGGTGGGGGAAGTTTTCTGTCATTATTTCTTCAAATAGGTTTTCAATATCTTGCCCTCTCTCTCCTTCTGGTACCCCTATAATTCTGATGTTGGTACGCTTGAAGTTGTCCCAGAGGCTCCTTACACTATCTTCATATTTTTGGAATCTCTTTTCTTTTTTCTTTTTTGGTTGGGTATTTTTTGTTTCTTTGTATTTCAAATCTTTGACTTGATTCTTGGGATCCTCTTGTCTGCTGTTGGATCTCTGTAAATTATTCTTTATTTCAGTCAGTGTATGCTTAATTTCTAGTTGGTCCTTTTTCATGTCCTCCAGGGTCTCACTATACTTATTGAGGGACTCATTAAATTTATCGGCGGTTTCCATAAAATTCTTGAAAAACCTTATAAACGTGGCCTTGAACTCTATATCCAGTCGTTTGCTTTCCTCCATTTCTGCCATTTGTGACCTGTTTCTTTGTCTCCGCATTTTGGCTGCTTCCCTGTTTTGATAGAGTGGCTTTGTGTGCTAGGTGTCCTGTAGGGCCCAGTGGCTCAGCCTCCCCAGTTACCTGAGGTGGACACTCTTGGTGCACCCCCTTGTGGGCTTTGTGCACAGTCTTGTTGCAGTTATGCCTTGGTTGTTGTAGGATCACTGGGAGGAATTGACCTCCAGGCCAATTGGCAGTGAGAATCAGCTGTGTCTGCAGTGGGAGAACTTCTGTACTGGAGACACCCTTCTGGGGCAAGACTTGCTTCAATGGGGCTTTGGTGCTCACTGAGACTGCACCCTGAGTGGGTCCCTTATGGATCTGAGGAGTTGTGATCTGGATGGTCCCCCTCTGACCACTGGGTACAGTGGCTCTTGGATCTAAGGAGGTGCTAATTTAGCCTCTGCCTGAGGTTACACAGCAGGAGCTACGAAGAGAACTGTAGATTCCCCTTCCTTTTTTGGAGTTTGGAGGTGCCCTGATGAGGCTCAGCTGTGAAGCAATGCAAGCCACTGTGGGGCCTTGGGCCTTCTCTTGGAAGTTCTGGGTCTGTCTGGGCCGGCTGCAGTTAGGTAATTAACAGGTTGCAAAGGGCCGGGGCATTCATATGCAAAAGCCTCTGCTGCAGCCTGGGTGGGGCGGGGTCTCAAGGAATCAAAGGGCAGAGCAAGCAGCTATGGCTGATCCTTAGCCCTGCCCTAGGAGTCGTGCGTCTCAGTGTCCCAGTAACGGCTGCAAGCACCTCTGAGGGAAAGCCGCCCTCAAGTTTGCCCACTGCCAGACAGTCCAGTTTGTCCCCGTATGAGTCCTGGGTCCCCAGAGACTTCCTGGAACCAGAGTTCAGAGCCGTCGGGAGCTTATGACTCCCTCCGGATTCAAAAAGACAGCCACGTCCTCAGGTGCCAGCCCCTTTCCGCGCGTGCGAGCCCCCATACCTCTGCACTTTACTTCCGCAGCTCCTCTGGCTCTCAGTGTGCTTTTCTTTCCTTCTAGTTGTAGAATTTACACTCAGCCAGCCCTCCTGTAGTTCTGGATGATGTCCATTTTGTGTTTTTGTTGTATTTTTCAATTGTTGTGGGAGGCAGCAATTTCCCGGTGTTTAGTTCCCGCCATCTTAGTTTCTCCTTCCTTAGTGTTCTTATTTGCCATCACTGACAGGGGTCATCTTTAATCACCTCATAAATAAGATCCTATCAGCTTTTTTAAAAATAGTATTTGCTTTTAAAAATTTAATTGCTTTCAGAGAGGGAGGGAGAGACAGAAACATTAATGGTGAGAGAGAATCGTTGACTGGCTGCCTCCTGCATGCCCCCTACTGTGGATCAATCCCGCAACCCGGGCATGTGCCCTTGACTAGAATTGAACCCAGGACCCTTCAGTCTGCAGGCTGACTCTATCCACTTAGCCAAACCAGCTAGGGCCCTATCAGCTTTCTAAGTGACAATTTCCCACTCTGAGGGAGCAATAGAGGACTTGTCATGACCTACTCTCCCTCTTCATTTTTTTCCAATCCTGCAAAATAGGCTTTTAAGGAAGTCTCTCTGAACTTCAGACTCTGCATCTGTCAGGTGAAAAGGATGATACCTATTTCCAGACCTGGTAGCAGTTTTAAATGAGGTAGAGAATGTGAAATTAGCCAAGAAACAGTAGTCTCACTACTGTTGTGTAGTTGGGAGAAAGGCCTTTCCTCTACAAGTTTTGTCCCTTTTAGTGAGATGCTATTGGAATTGCTACTTCCTGCATGTGCCACCAGGTGGCACTTTTGGCTAACTGATGGAACCACTGACAACAGCACCTGCGAAATGCTGAGCTAAGTGGCCATATTCCACAATCCTTCAGTCATTTTCATGGCATCTGCTAGATAGCAATGGTAGCTGAAGTGAATCCCAAGGAACAAGTAGAGATAACTCAGTCAGAGGGGGAGGTGGAATTGAAGGCAGCAGTTGAAAGACAGAGGTGGGATGAGAACAGGTTCCAGGCAGAAGAAAAGCATGCGTGAAAACACAGGAGCCTGGCCCATTCAGGAAAACGAGTTACAGATAACTAGAATGGAGTCGGCTGTGTGTGCAAGGCTATGGTGGGAGGCAGGGCTGGAGCTTACAGGAAGGATCTGGGAGCTGGGCTTTATTGACCAACTTTTTAATTTGTGCAGTTGATGAACATTATGGCTCTTCTTTCCAGGAAAAAAGAAAAAGAAACATTCAAAATGACGGAGGGTTAGCATGTGTGGACTCCTGCGGTAGCAAGTGTTCACATGTGCTTCTCAGTACAGTAGCTACCAGTCATAGGTAGTTGTTAAGCACTCACATGGCTACTGTGACGGAGGAACTGAATTTTATGTTAATTTTAAATAACCACATACTGAGAGAACAGCTCTAAACTCTGTTTTTCCCACTACTATCAACGAACCTTATCTACAGCAAGGGTCTACCATATTGCACACTGCATATATGGGAGATTTCTAGCCTCACAGAATGTTCTATTGTAGAGTGTCAGACTAGATACAAGACCAATTGGGAGGCGACTGTTGCCGTGATGGGACAGATGATGCGAGCCTGAACTAAAGCATTGATGGGGGGTTAGAGAGACTTAGAACAAGACTTGTCAGGACAAGGCCGATAATTGAATGTGGGGGTGAAGAACAGGGAGGGAGGGAAGATGACTGCAGGCTTCTACCTGGAGATATTGGTGGTACCACAAACTGGAATACAGGAAAAACGGTAATTTCCTCCTTAAAGATGTTGAGATTAAGGAGCCAAGGGGCATGCAGGTAGACACAGACTAGATAGAAAAATAGCTGTGGTCCTGGAATATATCATCAGTTCCTGTAGGTCAGAGAGACAGATGAGTAGCGTCAGAATGGGAAGAATAACTGAAGCCATGAAGAGGATAAGCAGTCTTTGGAGAGTGAGAAAACAGGACTGCACTATCATTTTAGGTCAGGGGAGTGTACGAGAAAAGAGGTAAAGGAGACGGGAAAGAAGCCGAGAAAAAGAAAGCCACAGTCTAGCAGTTCATGACAGTTTTGAGGAGAAACTAGACAAGTTTCAAATGCAATAGATACAAGACAGAAATGGGCAAGTTTCCACCAAAATTTGCAACAGGGAAATCATCTGTGATTACAGCAGTTTGAGTGGGAGGAGCACAACTTCAGCCCTGGACAAACTACCCAGATGTTTATGAGAGAAAAATAAACTACTGCCTTATTTAATGCACTGTGTTTTGGGGTTGCCTTGTTGAATGCCTAATCTATATCATCCTATATAATAAAAGCCTAATATGCAAATTGACCAAACAGTGGAATGATTGGTCGGTGGGGGGCAGTGCTGGTGAGTGGGTGGTGCCAGGCCAGCCAAAGTGGGTGCCAGTGGGCAGATGGAGGGGACAGAGATGGGGTGGGTGGCAGAGGGGCAATCAGGGGGCAGGGCCAGCCGCTAGCCAGCCGGTGCTGTCTCCCAATCGGCCTGCCAGTTGCCTCCTGCAGAGGGAGGCCACCAGTGGCAGTGGGGTGATGGGGGGCGGGGCTGGCCACTCGCCAGCTGGCCCACAGGTCAGCTGGACATCCCCCGAGGGCTCCTGGACTGCAAGAGGGAGCAGGCTGAGCTGAGGGACCCCTCCACCAGTGCACAAATTTTCATGCAACAGGCCTCTAGTAACTAATAGATCTTACATGCAAAAACAGAGATTATAAAATAAATAGGTAAACATATTGAATAATCAGCAAGGCTTTTATGTTAGTAAACTTTTGAGTTCATTTTATTTTTGAAAATGTTCCCAAAAAGGAGTAAAGAGTATGAGGTAGGGTCAGCCAAATCCTCTGCTGCTGTTGATGGCTACTTGAAGCGCTTCTTCCACTCTTTCCATTGTAGAATACTTAGGGAGGTAGAGGAGACTAAAACATGTAAGTGCTCTTATGGGATCTTTTTCACCCACATTTTCAGGACAGCAAAATGTTATTTTCATGCTCTTTAAACCTTTTACTTGAATTCTGTCAGTTCCTGTAAGAAACACTAAAAAACAAAATGAAATTGAGTGATCTGCTTCACGAATCACCAACAGTTATCAAGAGAAAATACTTTTATTTTAAACATTTACTGAGGGCCCATGTGCAAAGTCCTACATTAGACAGCACTGGGGATCATATTATAACTAAGTCTGACACACAGTCACTACCCTCAATGACTGGTGGGAATATTAGATTCTTGTGCAAAAAAAGGCAAAAACAATAAATAAAAGGGTGTAAGACAGCCAAACAGGGTGTCATAGAAATAAGGGCTGCTATGGGGTGTAAATGCTATGGGGTTCAGAGCAGGAAGAGAGAACCAGGCTGGGGTGACTGGGGAAGACTTCTGAATGTTTGGAATTAAGCTGGGCCTTTAAGGAGGGAAAGGTTTAGAGAGGCAAAGGAGGTGGGTGAAGTTTCAAGGCAGGGCAGGAGTTTCAGAGAAAGCCTGGAAGTGAGAGGGTGCAAGAAACTAACTATAGAAAGAAGGCTCACTATTTAGCTCGGATGAAGAAAAAAAACATTAAAGCAAAAGGCAGGGTGGAAAACAGGAAAAAATATCTCTATTAACATTTATTTTTTGATGTTGTGACAACTTGGCATAGGGGACATTCAACTGGACTAGGAGTGGCTCTTCCACTCCTAGTTGCAAATGGTGCCTAAGACAAATAAAATGTTCTTATTCCATAAAAAAAGAACAGAAGATTATAAATGTCTTCCTGATCTAACACTTACCAAGGAACTTCTTCTTTTCCTCCAAAGTCAACTTGTGCAAAGCCTTCCAAAACATCACTATGGTGGGATGTGAATTGTCATATCCTTGTCCATATCGTGCATTCTGGAGAAAAATGCAAAATATATATATATATTTTCAGGAAATAGAAAAGAAATTTAAATTGAAGCTACTTGACATTTATGATATACCTTTTCAAATGTTTCCCAGTCATAATCTGTATTTCCAATAATCATATCCTTTAGTTCTTCAGGATGGAAAAATTCAATAATCTCCTTGTCACACACTTTGTAAAATCCTCTTTGAAATTCTTCATAAACGGCCTTTACAGAGATGTTGAAGATGTAATCGACATACTTGGAAACATAGTCTGTCCTTTAATGAAACAAAAATGATTTCAGCTTACTGCAATACTCCAAAGAAAAATGGGAGGAGGGGCAGGAAGGAGGCAGCTAAAGATAAGAGCTGGACCACTTTGCAACTGAGTGGTTGGACTGTTATAGGCATTTTTCACTTATTATCTAATTTAATCAAGAAACTCAGGGCACATTTTTATAAGTTTAGTGAAGAGGAAACTGAGATACAGTGAAGTCATGTGATTTTTCAGGGTCACAGAGTTAAGAGAATCGACATTGATTAGAATAGAATAAGTTTGGAAGAATTAAACCTGACCTGCTAACAGTCATGTCTGGGAAATGGGCTTGGGAGATGGGGGAAATTTCCTATTTTATTTTATACTTTTCAGTATTGTCTGAATTTGTCAGAAGAGTAATTTTATACTTTTCTATAATGTCTGAATTTGTCATAGGAGTAATTATGTGAGCTTAACACAAATAAAGAAGGGATTTACACTTCTAGCTATAACGGAGTACCTGGTAGCAAATGCTTGCAATAAGAACTACAAAAAGGCAAGCAATATAAAAAAACATGTAGCTCCAGGCTTCCACATCTGAGACAAGACTGGAGAGACCTTTGGACTCAGAGAGAAGGGAAGCTCACTGATGAGAGTCTAGCATTTTACTTGTAGTTTTTCCCTCCCTCTGGCACATTTGCCAATTCTGTCAGGCTAAAGGGCTGAGCAAAAATAAGTTGTTAAGAGGCAGAAAACCTTATTATATCCATCAATAATACTATGGGTAAACGGGATCTATTCATAAAATCCTATATAATAAAGAGGTAATATGCAAATTGACCCTTACTCCATCATGCCATCACAAGATGGCTGCGCACACAGCAGAGGCAGGGTTCCCATAATGAGCAGTAAGGAGCGATCACCAGGGACCTGAGGCTGTGAGATGCTGGGCCGGGGCAAGGGACCTGAGGCTGTGCCACCCGCCCAGTGGGGCTTGAGGGGGGACCTCAGGCCATGCCCCCTGCCCCAGTGCCAGGCCCGGGGACCTGATGCTGCACCCCTTGCCCTGGCGCCAGGCAACCTGAGGTCATGCCCCTGGCCCAGCGGGGCTTGACAGGGGACCTGAGGCTGCGCCCCCAGCCACAGGGCTTGACAGGGGCTCTGAGGCTGTGTCCCCCGCCCGGCGGGGCTTGACAGGGGTGGGACCGGCTGGGTCTGGATCTCGCCCCATGGGGATGGGGCCAGCTGGGTCTGGGTCTGGCGCGATTTCGAGGGGCACACAGGTGGGCGGGGACTTGACTCTGGGTCCTGTGGCATGCCCCGGACTCTTGACAGGAGGAAGATTTTCAAATACATTTTACTAATTTTCTTTCATCTCTGACACTTCTATTATAGAGAAAGGGCAAATAGCAACATTAAGGTATTTCCTCTAATTAATTCCCTTTTAATGTGCACGAATTTCATGCACCGGGCCACTAGTATATTATAGAGCTGGATATGTTCTATTTCTTGATCTGTGCTCTTATCATGTGTGCACTTTTCTGAACATTACACTGCAATACAAAGATTTTTTAAAATAAAGATTAAAAATTATAGAAAAATATTTGCCTTAGGGCAGAATGCTCACTAGGACCAACTATCAAGGGAACATTCTATAATCCCACACTGTATTCCTTTAAGTCCCATAAGGTGTTGGGAAGGGAAGATACCACAGTGGCATCTATCTATCCTATATAATAAAAAGCTAATATGCAAATCAACCAAATGGCCAAACGACCGGTAGCTATGACGCGCACTGACCACCAGGGGGCAGACGCTCAACGCAGGAGCTGCCTCCTGATGGTCAGTATGCTCCCACAGCACTGCTCAGCCAGAAGTCCTGAGCCAGGCTCACGGCTGGCAAGTGCAGCAGCGGTGGTGGGAGCGCTAAGGATGTCCAACTGATGGAGCGGGCCTATCAGTTGGAGGGGCCCTAAGGGCTCCTGGACTGCAAGAGGGCACAGGCCGGGCTGAGGGACCCCCCAAGTGCACGAATTTCGTGCACCAGGTCTCTAGTATTCATAACAACAGAACCACCAGTCGCTATGACGTGCACTGACCACCAGGGGGCGCACGTGGAACATGGTGGGCATTGGCAGCAGAGCACAGAACATGGCAGGTGTTGGCTGCAATGAGATGGTGGAGCAGGTGAGCAGGGGCGCCAGACCAAGGTGGGGCGCCAGTCACTGTCATCAGGGCAAGCCTCTGGTGGTTACTGAAAATGCTTTGCTCCTGTGCACCGTGTTCCTGCCCGGCACTCGCACCCGCTGCCAGCACTAGCCCTGCTCGCACCCGCTGCTGGCGCCTGGCGCCGGTGCCGTCAGCGGGTGCTCGCAGCAGCTACTGGCCCCGATCTCCCCTCAGGCCTTCTCCATCTCCCCCTGCTCCTGAGGGGCAATCAGGGCAGCAGCCGCTGCTCACACCTTCTGCTGGCGCCAGCCCCAATTGCTCCGTGCCGTCAGCCTGTGGGAGCAGTGATGGCGAAAGCAGGGTTGCTGGCCGACAGGGGACCAGGGGCTGCAGTGGGATGGGCAGGGCAGGGGTGCAGAGGATGGGCCGAGACCCACCCCCGTGCTCACCGTAGCCTCCCAGCCCACAGTTCCTTTCAAGGTGCACAAATTCATGCACTGGGCCCCTAGTCTAATAATATCAACAAATACTCTGTGCCTGCTATGGACCAGACATTAGTGTAGACTAGTCGAGGTAATGGATGTATAGTGGTGAGCAAGAAAGACCGAGTTCTTGCCATCATGCAGCTCAGCATAGTGGGGGAAACACTGGCAAGGAAATAAGCAAATAAAGTCTAAAGGTAGGTAAAGTGTGACATGAAAAGAAAAGGTAAAGAAGGGTAAGGGGCTAGAGAGAAAGGTTGGTGGTTGGTTCTAGATAGGAGGATTAGGGAAGGCCTCCATGAGAAAGCCATTTCTTCCCTACCAGAATATACACTCCACACATATATGCACCCAGCACACAGCAACTCTCCACCTTATTAAAAATTAACTGGGAATGAAAAGTTATATAGCTACAATAAATTTTTAGAGCCAAGTGAAACAGACAGTGTATAAAGAAAACAAACATTTCACTTCTTTGTACCTACTTGTTAGTCTGGTTGACAATTATGCAACTTCCATTAGGAATTAAGTCTACATCAGTTTTGTCCCAATTCACCTGTAACCACAAATAAACTCAGACAGCATCTCCAAAATAATCGTGAACAGTCTATCATCAGCAAATACACTTTGAAGCATATCTTTTTTCCTCAAGAATAGGTGGAATTGTACATGTTTGTCACAAGACAAGCAAGGAATGTACAAATAAAAATTACCAGCTTTTCATGCAGAATGAAAAATAAACTTAAAAAACTCAAGTTATCTATTTTAACTGATCATACTGAAAAAGTAAATAGATGGGGGAAGAGGGGAGAAGGGGGAGGTATACACATATCACACTCTCACATACAAACCTAAAATAAAACGTTTGCAAACAATATCTGACAATCAGGCCTGGTTTCCTAGGCATGTGACCTGTAATGGTAGCCCAGAGCTCTATGTCTGGGTCCCTCACTGTATTAAAATTCTTAATAATTTTATTTTAGAACTTATGTTTTGCAAGTGAAGTCAGATGGAAAAGTGGAGCATTCCTGTGAGCAGATGAGATTCGGGCAATGTGTGTGTCTGCTGCTATTTCTTGCCGTTCCATTTGCATATAGAGTTCGTGATGCCCCATAAGCGTAGCATTCCAGTGAACCCATGATGCATGGGAGCTCAGCAAGACTCAAAGTGAGAACAAGTTCAGTATGTTGTATCTACAGCTGAGTAAGATGGGGGTGTGGGGTGGGGGTGTGGTGGTGATGACAAACCAAAGAGACCACACTTTCCTTTCCAACCTGCACTTGTTTCCAGTGCAGAAAGAATGCAATAGAGTTCTGAGAAACACGAAGACCAGGGACCCAGTCACATCCTATTGTGTTACTTTCCTGTATTAGCTAACAACGTATGCTGAAAATGATGACATCAAAGAAAAAGAAAAGATAAGCCAACCAGTTCCTGTTCATCCTCCTTAATCATCAGTAAACTGGAGTTGGACAATGTTGACAGAATGCACATGTATGAAGAAGTGAAATAAAAACAGTGGAATTAGTTTCATGCAGTGTGCCCAGTGCTCTGGTTAAGAACTAAATACATAATATATGTGCATGTATGAACTGCAAAATATGAACTATGGAATTTTGGTGATTTAGCATGTAAGTTAAATGCTGTTACATTTGCATTTTAAACTGGCATTGCAAAACAAAGATGTATGGTAAATTCATGTTAATAATTATTTTTTATTTAGGATGATAATAAATAGCAAATGCAAATACAAAAAAAAAGGTAAATAGGGAAATTGCCATATTTCAGTATTCACTTTTCTCAGGACAGACCTGGTGTGGTGGACTTGGAAAATTAGCCATAAATTCCTCCTATCCTGGTATTCCTGTCCCTTTGCAATATGACTCCACAACATCTCCCACCAAGAGGGGGGAGTCTGGCCCGACTGGCATGGCTCAGTGGTTGAGTGCCGACCTATGAACCAGGAGGTTATGATTCGATTCCCAGTCAGGGCACATGCCCAGATTATGGGCTCAATCCCCAGTATGGGGTGTGCAGGAGGCAGCCAATCAATGATTCTCTCTCATCATTGATGTTTCTCTCTCTCCCTCTCCCTTCCTCTCTGAAATCAATAAAAATACATTAAAGAAAACAAAACACCAACAATTAAATTAAAAAAAGAGGGGGAGTCTCTTTCTTTAGCCCTTGAATCTGGAGGTAACCTTGTGAAATAGTCTGGCCAATGGGATCTGACAGAAGCAAAAGCATGAAAAGAAGCTTGTGTGTTGAGGGTTGCCATCTCTTTGGACCCTGAGCCCATCCAGTGAAGAAGCCTCGGCTGGCCTCCTGGATGATAACAGACAGAACAGAGACAAGCTGTTCCAGCTGACACCTGCCAAGGGCCAGCCTGCCAACGACCAGGTATGGTGCGAGGCCACTGTTGGCCATCCAGCTCAGCCACGCTGGCCCAATCCAGAAATCACAGAATTATCTGCTGTTTTCTGTCACTAAGTTTAGGTGTTGTCTGTTACACAGTAAAATCCAACTGGCACATCCAGCTCATAAAAAATGAAGGGAATAACCTTTTACATTAACTTAATTCAGAAGTTTGTTTTTTCATTAAAGGGTGCATGTTTAGGCAAGTACGTAAAGGGTTAATCAGATTATATCTGATCTGTAATCTGGCTTTCACTGTTACTCACATTAAAATGGACATAAAATACTTCTTCAAAGTCAGCACTTTCATCATCCAGAAGTATCTGCAAACTCCTAAAGAACAAATAATTTCATTTAAAAAAATAACAACGATCACTAGATACATCTTGTAAATAAACACAGAGTGTGTGACTATTCTGAAGGTGAGAAGTCAGGTACAGTTCACTGCACCACCATGACTTGAGACCTCAGCTATCTTTAAATGTGAGGTTAGAAGTTTATCTACAATTCTGCAGGCTCCCCACCTGATTCCTACTCTCCTACTGCCCTAACTTCCTTTACCTCGTCATCGTAGATGTCTATTTTAGAAAAGGACTGGTAACGTATTTACTGACACTGAAACTCATTCAAATTGGTGTTACCTTTATTTAAGCTTTGGGACTTTACTTACAGAGCAAACAATAGATCTCCTTTTAAATATCAGGCATTGCTCAGATCTGTGGAGTGGATAGATAGGTCAAAGGACCTTCTCTGTATCTGCTGTCCCAGTATCATCAAGCTCCAGACAGACCTGGCATTTGACTACCTTAATTCTTTCCAGGCATTTGCGAGAACAGAGGTTATATCAGAATGGGAGCAGCCAGTCGTTTTCTATTTCCATCCTCTAAACTTTATAAATACGTTTAATGTAATATGTCTCATTATGTATTATTTACTCCTTTACCTCTCTATTCATTCAACAAACACTTATTAACTACTTAATATGGTAGGCAAAGGGGATGTAAAGTTGAGACCAATTCCTTTCCTGCCAATAAACCCTGAGGCCAGTAGGAATGATGCTTATGGGAGCCTTACCTACAGTCCTGTGAGATGTGTGCAGCTGGGAACTATGTAAATGGTACAGGGATAACTTGGAAGAGCTTGGTTAACCCTTTCTGAAGGGAAAGATGTCACTGGGGAAGTCTCCCTCCGGGAGATGGTGGAAATGAAGCTGATTTTTTCCCTTGCTGGATTTTTTGCTATGATACTGTGATATAAAACACACCATCTTTTATGCATGTATTTTTGTGAGGTCAGGGAACTCAGCTGACAAAACTGGATTCATCACAACATTTGGTTCACTATCTTCTCATTGTATGGCCATATATGGCTTATGAGTATGTTTATGAATAACACCTGTGAACCTGCCTCCCAAAACAAGAACTAAAACATTGCTAATCCTATATGATAAAAGCCTAATATGCTAAGTGTCCAACCGGTCATTCGACCAGTCACTATGATGCGCACTGACCATCATGGGGCAGACGCTCTGACTGGTAGGTTAGCTTGCTGCTGTTGTCCGGCCAATCAGGACTGGGTAAGATGGGCTGGACACACTCTGGAACCCTCCCACGTTACCCTCCCTGGGCCCAATCGTGCACCGGTGGGGTCCCTTGGCCTGGCCTGCACCCTCTTGCAATCAGGGACCCCTTGGGGGATGTTGGAGAGCTGGTTTCAGCCCGATCCCTGCAGGTCAAGCTGAGGGACCCCACTGGTGCACGAATCCATACACAGAGCCTCTAGTATCTTATACCTACCTGTAGGAGGTACCTTCCTTATCCCATTTTTCTACCCCCCCCCAAAACGAGTTACAAATATCTACCAGTTTGAAGAGTGTCTTTTGTCTTTCATTAAGGTATGTCTTGATGAACAGAGAACTTCTTTAATCTTGTTGCAGTTAAATTTACCAATCTTTCCTTCACTGTTGATACTTCTTATGTCTTACTTAAAAAAAAAAAAAATCCCAAGAATGGGAAAGGTATTTATCCATATTTCCATCATTTTAACATTTAATATTTAAGTCCTGCATCCATGTGGAGTTGATTTTTGTATATGACATAAGGTATTTGCTCTAATTTTTCCCCAGATGCATTAACTGAATGGTCCTCCTATTCCCATTGACCTAATATGCTAGTTTGTTAAAGTTCCATGTGTGCATGGTCAGTTTCTGAGCTCTCTCTTCTGTTCTACTGGAAAACCTGCACAATTACATACTGTCCTGCTTAATGCGGCTTTCAAATTATTCTTGATATCTGATAGGACAAGTTCCCCACCCTTCTTTACCTTATGGGTTATTCTTGGCCCTTTGTTCATCCATCTAAATTTTAGAATCAGCTTGTCAAGTTTTATAGTAAGCCTGCTGGGATTGAAACTGGAGTTTTACTGAATGTAGAGATCAGTGCTTCTCAAAGCATTGCCCAGACCCACAACTTCTGGGAATCCCTGAGGACTTTACAGGGGTCCATGGGCTCTAAACTATTTTCATAATAATACTAAGATGTTACTTTTGTCTTTCACAGTGAGTATAGAACAGTTTCCCAGAGGCTCTATGATACCCAATATTTGTGTATTCTTGAATGTAAAACATTTATCACTTTTAATTTCTAATATTGCAAACATTGGCAAATGTAACAAACATAAATAAAAGCTCTTTGAGTCCTCAATACTTTTTGAATATCTTAAGACCTAAAAGTTTGAGAAATACTGATACAGATTTAATGACCTTTATATTTACTAAGTTTATGTGTATAGTTATTAAGCTTATTAAGTCTCCTTAGGCATAGCATTAAGTAGGTAATTTTCAATGTTTTCAGTAAAAAAAATTTTTTTCTCTCCTCCTTCCCAAATCTTCTGTTTTCAGTATTTTTCTCCTCCTCCTATTAGTATGATTAACAATTGGACTCTGGAGCCATGGTTATGTCACTTTGGGACCTGGGTGTGTTTTAGTTTCCTCATCTGTAAAATGGATCCTATTAATAGTCTATTAATAACAGGATCATACTACTGTCCTAATTTTTGTTAAAAAAACTTGCCCTAACTGGTTTGGCTCAGTGGATAGAGTATTGGACTGCAGACTGAAGGGTCCCAGGTTCGATTACGGTCAAGGGCGTGTACCTTGGTTGTGGGTACATCCCCAGTAGGAAGTGTGCAGGAGGCAGCTGAGTTGATGTTTCTCATCGATGTTTCTAACTCTCTCGCCCTCTCTCTCTCTCCCTTCCTGTCTGTAAAAAAATCAGTAAAATATTTAAAAGAATATCTCCACAGTCCATTGCATAAATATACCAAAAATATACAATTCCCTTCTTGAAGAACAGTTAGGCAGTCCATGTATTATGAACTATATGATACAGTGTATACTGGTATACAGAAATCCTTGCATGGTTATGTGTTTCGGATGAAATGTCTAGAGACAAAACTGTTGGGTCAAAGCGTCAAACACGTTTTTGATTCAGATAAGCAATGCCACATTGTTCTCTGAAAAAGGAGTTACCAATTTGCACACCCACTAACAATCCCTGAGACTGGAGTTAATCTTTTACCAAACCCTTGCTAACACCATACAGATCAGTATATCCATCCACTGTCACTTTGAAGCACATAATAGTCTCTCATTTTAATCTGCATTCCATGATCACTAGTGAGATTGATCATGTTTGTATTTATGTGCCATTTCTATTGCTTCTTCTGTGAGTTGCCTTCTTGTACACTTTGTGAATTTTTCTTATGAACGTGCAGAAGTACTTTATATAGTAGAGATAGTCACCCTTCCTGTTTTATTTTTAATATATTTTATTGATTTTTTACAGAGAGGAAAGGAGAGGGACAGAGAGTCAGAAACATCGATGAGAGAGAAACATCAACCAGCTGCCTCCTGCACACCCCCGACTGGGGATGTGCCTGCAACCAAGGTACATGCCCTTGACCGGAATCGAACCTGGGACCCCTCAGTCCGCAGGCCGACACTCTATCCACTGAGCCAAACCGGTTACGGCACCCTTCCTATTATATGTTACCAATACTTTTTACAAGGTGGGGGTTGTCTTTTAACTTACATATAAGTTTTCATTTTAAAGGTGGTAATACGGAAACAATTATTTAAAATAAACATCACTGTAACCTATACTCTGTCTATGACTGTTTCTATGCAAATAAAGTTCAAAGATTAATGCAAGCACTGAGGACTAATATAAAAAACTTTCGTTAATTTTAGAAAGTTAAATTATTAATCCAACAATTCTTGCCAAAGTTAAAATTGGTTTCAAGTACTCAGAATGCTACTATTGGACGTGAAAATATTACTGAGAGGGTGTGTTTAAATATTTGTCCTAATATATGTTAGGTAGAACTCTGAAAAAGAATCATGTTTACTTACCTTCCCAAGACAGGACTGAGCTCTTTCAAGTCTTCCAATGATGGTGTTTGGTCCAAAAGTTTCTTAAACAGAGCCAGTGGGAAAGGGATGTTTGCAACATTGCCGTTGAACAGAATAAGTCCACACAGAATCCCAAAGAAGAAATATCTCTTTTTCTCAAATTTAGGCTGAAAAGAGAAAAAACATTTTAACATATTATGAATTTTTGCCAGTACAATGGTATCTTTATATTAGATAAACATGTCCCCCCCCCCCTTCACAAAATCAAATCACAAATTAAAACCAAAAATCTTGAGATAAGAATATTCAGGAGAAACCAAGATGGCGGCATAGGTTAACGCCGGAGATCGCTGCCTCAAACAACCACTTCAGAGATATAACTAAAGGACAGAACGGACATCACCCAGAACCACGGGAAGGCTGGCTGAGTGGAAATTCTACAACTAGGAGGAAAGAGAATATCATACCCAGACTCAGAGGAGGCGCAGTGCTGAAGTGAAATACTCAGGTGCGGAGTGTGCGCGCGGAGCGGGCTGGCGGCGGAGGGCGCGGTTGTTGTTTTCAATCGGGAGGGAGTTTCAGACTCTGAGCTCCAGATCCGGGCGAGTCTCTGGGGACCGAGACTCAAACGGGAGAAACGGGACTGTCTGGCTTCGGTCGGAACTCGAAGGCAGCTTTCTCTCCGAGGTTTGCAGCCATTGCTGGGGCTCTGAGAGGCAGAGCCCCTGGGGAAGGAACTGAGAGTCGCCATAACTGCTCGTTCCACCTGCCCTGTAGATCCCCGGGGACCCACCCCGCCCAAGCCCTGCACAGAACCATTTGCCGGATAGCCTCAGGCAAACGCTAGATTAGCACCGCCCTAGAGATCCAGCACAGAAGCCCTCCCACTACAGACACAGCAGACTCTCATAGCCAGTTAGCCTGGAGGTCAAATCACCCCGGTATTGCCGACATCAATCAAGGCTTAAAGGCAACAAGACTGCGGACAAAGACCACTAGGGGGTGCACCAAGAAAGCATAAAAAATGCGGAGACAAAGAAACAGGACAAAACTGTCAATGGAGGATATTGAGTTCAGAACCACACTTTTAAGGTCTCTTAAGAACTGTCTAGAAGCTGCCGATAAACTTAGTAAGGCCCTCGAAAAGACTGGTGAGACCGCCGATAAATGTAGTGAGATCCTCAAGAAATCTAATGAGACCCTCGATGTTGTGATAAAGAACCAACTAGAAATTAAGCATACACTGACTGAAATAAAGAATATTATACAGACACCCAACAGCAGACCAGAGGAGCGCAAGAATCAAGTCAAAGATTCGAAATGCGAAGAAGCAAAAAACACCCAACTGGAAAAGCAAAATGAAAAAAGAATCCGAAAATATGAAGATAGTGTAAGGAGCCTCTGGGACAGCTTCAAGCGCACCAACATCAGAATTATAGGGGTGCCAGAGGATGAGAGAGAGCAAGATATTGAAAACCTATTTAAAGAAATAATGACAGAAAACTTCCCCCACCTGGTGAAAGAAATAGACCTACAGGTCCAGGAAGCGCAGAGAACCCCAAACAAAAGGAATCCAAAGAGGACCACACCAAGACACATCATAATTAAAATGCCAAGAGCAAAAGACAAAGAGAGAATCTTAAAAGCAGCAAGAGAAAGAAACCCAGTTACCTACAAGGGAGTACCCATACGACTGTCAGCTGATTTCTCAACAGAAACTTTGCAGGCCAGAAGGGAATGGCAAGAAATATTCAAAGTGATGAATACCAAGAACCTACAACCAAGATTACTTTATCCAGCAAAGCTATCATTCAGAACGGAAGGTCAGATAAAGAGCTTCACAGATAAGGAAAAGCTAAAGGAGTTCATCACCACCAAACCAGTATTATATGAAATGCTGAAAGGTATCCTTTAAGAAGAGGAAGAAGAAAAAAAAAGGTAAAGATACAAATTATGAACAACAAATATGCACCTATCAACAAGTGAATCTAAGAATCAAGTGAATAAATAATCTGGTGATCATAATAGAATCAGGGACATAGAAAGGGAATGGACTGACTATTCTTGGGGGGGAAAGGGGTGTGGGAGATGCGGGAAGAGACTGGACAAAAATCGTGCACCTATGGAAGAGGACAGTGGGTGGGGAGTGAGGGCAGAGGGTGGGGCGGGAGCTGGGAGGAGGGGAGTTATGGGGGGGGAAAAAATGAGGAACAAATGTAATAATCTGAACAATAAAGATTTAATTTAAAAAAAAAAAAAAAGATTACCAAACCCATGGGAAAAAAAAAAAAAAAAAAGAATATTCAGGATTTATATTCAATCATTAAGTCAATTTAAATCCCTGTCACAGTTTTGGTCACTAAAAGCATTAACAGAATGAGGATTGAGGGGCTAGGAGAGATGTTGTTTAGGGGGAAAAAACTGCACCAAGTAGAAAGTCCTAGAGATCTAATGCACAGTAGTGAATACAGATAACAATATTGGATTATAATAATCAAATGTGCTATGAAACTAGATCTTAATTATTCCAACCACTAAAAAGAAGTAGTAATTATGTGACGTGACAGAGGTGCTAATTATTGCTTCAGTGGCAACCACATTACAGCATATAAATATCAAATCAACATGTGCACAATGTTTAATTTACACAACGTTATATACCACTTATTTCCATAAAAAATAAGTAAATGAAAGAATGAACAAGCATAGTAGCACATTAGGCTCAGTAATCCTTATAAACTAAAGTTTCCACAATGTACTTTCATAGCCTTTGTCTTCAAGCTCACCAGGAAAAATAGAACTGTGACAAAGACTGAGTGCCTAAGAAAGAAGCATTTGATTTTATCCATACATTCCATAAATGGTCAAAAACACATACTGCTTAATTTCTCCTCTGTGGACATGAGAATCCAGGGAAAGTAGACCCTGTTTTAGAGAAAATAATCATCTATGTACGTATGTACTTATTTATTTTTATCCTTCCCGGAGGATATGTTTTTATTGATTTTAGGGAGAAATGGAGGGGGAGAGAGAGAGCAGGGGCACAAGAGAAACATCAATTAGTTGCCTCCCATTATGTGCCCTGACCAGGGATCAAATCTGCAACCTACGTGTGTGCCCTGAACGGCGATTGTCACCTGCCACCTTTTGGTGTACAGCAGTGGTTCTCAACCTTCCTAATGCCGCGACCCTTTAATACAGTTCCTCATGTTGTGGTCACCCCCAACCATAAAATTATTTTCGTTGCTACTTCATAACTGTAATTTTGCTACTGTTATGAATTGTAATGTAAATATTTGATATGCAGGATGTATTTTCATTGTTACAAATTGAACGTAATTAAAGCAAAGCGATTAATCACAAAAACAATATGTAATTATATATGTGTTTTCCGATGGTCTTAGGCGACCCCTGTGAAAGGGTCGTTTGACTCCCAAAGGGGTAGCGACCCACAGGTTGAGAACCGCTGGTGTACAGGATGATGCTCTAATCAACCCAGCCACTTGGCCAGGGCAATAATCACCTTTTTCAATTAAACTTTTATCTCTACAATTATATCATTAATTCTTCTCCTAGTATAAAACAAATTAGGCAATCTAATTTATGGTATGTGACATACCTTTTCTATCAGGAAACACCATAAGCAAAGAAAAGGGGACTTACCTTAACAGGAAACCACATGTAGGTAGCCTCTTTAGGATACATGAACATCCCATATTCTGGCCGAGTCATCTCTTCAAACAGACAGTAGAAAAACTCTGTCCTGACGCCTCCAGGTTCATATCCAGTTTCTTCACTAAATGAAACCTGAGGAAGCAGAGCAAATAATGCATCACTTTTAGGCTGTGTATTGCTACATGTTACACTCTGTTTAGCAGTGAGAGCTAGCATTATTGTGGGCCCAAGTATTTGGCAGCCACTGTGGTAAGCATCATACTCGTGTTACCATATTTAATATCCTATTAATTCTATGAGGCTTCAGGAATTTAAATAACTCCCAAGATTATAAAATACTCAATGGTGCAGCCGAGGTTTAATCCTATGTCTGTGACACCTCAGAGCCTAAAGTTTTTAACACTAAATTGACCTCAATTGGCACCATTGTTACAGTTATAAGGTAGGCTAAGTATAATAACAGTAAAACACAAAGAAATCAGAAATATTAGGATTTTCAAAAAAAACCAAGCCAGAGCACACGTGAAGTATTTATTGGCTTGGCTGTTTGCTCCTTAAGGAGGGGCACCAATCCCTGCACAAGATGATTCTATCATCACCGTCTTTGCTCCTTCGGTCGTTCCATTCTTGCCTTTCTTTTTTAGAATCTTTCACTTCAGTTTACAAATGTGTTAAGTTCTCCCTTATCCTTAAAGAAAACACACACCTCAAGACCACTGTTTCTAAAATAGACAATATTGGCCCCTCCTACTCTAGGCTGTCAAATTTCGGAGAATACTGTCACCAACTTCCAAACCCATTTCTCTTCTTAAATGCTTTTCTCCAACAGGACCAAGAACCTGGAGTCCTCAATTCCAAGGGCTTTTCCTGATGTCTCATCTCCTTGGTTCCCTAACCCATTTCATTCCTCTGACCACCCCCTCTTTCTTCACGTTCTTTTCTCCCTTGCTTTCTCTTATGCAGCACTATTTAGGTTTGTATTTTTCTCTTCTTTTTCCTGCTGTTTTAATACAGAAATTCCTTTCTCTCTGCTCTTCCCCCAAATCCTCATTTTTCTCCTTAAAAGCTCCTTTTACTGGTTTATTTGGATGAATATCGCTACCATTTTATAGAGATGCAAGTTTCAAACCTCAGTAAAATATTTTTTTAAAAAATATATTTCATTGATTTTTTACAGAGAGGAAGGGAGAGAGACAGAGTGTCAGAAACATCAATGAGAGAGAAACATCGATCAGCCGCCTCCTGCACATCTCCCACTGGGGATGTGCCCGCAGCCCAGGCACACGCCCCCGACCAGAATCGGACCCGGGACCCCTCAGTCCGCAGGCCGACGCTCCATCCACTGAGCCAAACCTGTTCCGGCCTCAGTAAAACATTTAAAATCTTTATAAGACCAGGTGTTAAACCGGCCCCTCCCTGTGGGCAAGTTCTTTAACCTCACAAAGGCTGTTTTCCCCACAGATTATCTGAAAGATTAAATAACCTGTAAAATGCCTCACAGAGTCTGGAAAATGGTAACTGCTCATCAAATGTTACCTAGATTTTAAAAATGGATGAGTGGCCCTAGCAGGTTTTGTTCAGTGGATAGAGCATCAGCCTACGGGCTGAAGGGTCCCAGGTTCGATTCCAGTCAAAGGCACAGGCCTGGGGTTGTGGGCTCGATCCCCAGTAGGGGGTGTGCAGGAGGCAGCTAATCAATGTTTCTCTCTCATTATTGGTGTTTCTCTTGCTCCTTCTCCGTTCCTTTCTAAAATCAATTAAAAATATTAAAAATAATATACATATATACACTAGTAAGACAAGTTATATAGTTACTAAACCAAAGATCATTTATAGATGTTCAGAACATGGTATTATCTACAATTATACCCTCAAAAACGATGCAGTCAATAAACAGAAAGTTCCCTCTTCCACAGAGAACTTTGGGTCCTGCGTGAGCAGAAACAAACCCTCAATTCTCATCTCACCAAAACCCTTAAAAAGTGGTGACTAGCCAGGCGAGGCCAGTCCTCAGGAGGGACTGGACCTCTCAGGGTTAGAGCTGGACTTTCTACCTGGCTAGGTTGGGGGATGGCAACCATTTCCCTAAGGCCCCTTAGCCTGCGTGTCCTGATGAAGTGCCTACACCTATCACCTGGAACTCACAGGTCTCTGGGGAGTTAGGGGAACTCTGAGGCAGACCACCTCGATGGAAAAGGGAGATAATTTCCCTTCTGTGAAGGCTAGTTGTTACATTACTTAATATTTTCCTTATCTGGGCACCAAATTATTGAGAGTGATACTTTACCATTAACTCCATCCTCAGGTCTTCATTCTCAAATTGACTTAACTGGCTCAAAACGTCCTCAATCAAGTGACTCCTTCTGACTATGAGATTAAAGGTGGGCAGCAACCCTAAACTGGACCCTCCATCTTCCACAATTCCAGCCAAATGCAAAACAGCTCTAAATCTTCTCTCCTAGGAAAACAGAAATGTCTCACTTCATTTTACCATTTGCTCTGAGTAGAAATTTGTAAAGTGGGATAAACTGGTTCAGTTGGTTATGAATGCATGTCACAAACACTTATAAAAAGAGCCTTATATACACCACTGAAGATAAGCTATACATTCAGTGTTCACCCTGTGAGCTGAAGAAACATGGAACCTAAGAAACGGGAGCCAGCCTGGGTGAGCAGGAAAGCGACCGACGGCAGGCTCCACTGGACTACTTTACCCTTCCTATAAATGCAATTATTAATACTTCAGTCACTAAAGCTAATTATAATCAACAGACTAAGAGGCTGATTAGTAAACACTGACGCAGTGCGCTGAAACATATTCTCATTCGAAAAAGTTCAGAAGTTTAGGAAAAAAGCAGCCTGCAGGAAAAGTTCAAATATGAGAGACCTCGCTAAAAAGATCCTATTCTAGGAAGAGAAACCAGACAAGAGATTTTAGGTGAAGAGAGGGGACAAGGGGAGAGAGGGGGAAAGGGGGAGAGGGGGAGAGGGGGAGAGGGGGAGAGGGGGAGGGGGGGAGAGGGGGAGGGGAGGAGAGAGAGAGATATCGTCCACCTGAAACCAAATAGCAATTTGGGACCATTAAAGTCTGTGGTTCTTAGCAAAACAGAGAGAAATCAGTTCTATAAGATTATTACTGGAAACTTACTTAAAGTCAGGAGAAAACAGTTAAGAGATGAAGCAAAAGAAAATTCTTGTATATTTTTTATTTTCCTTTGTTAAGTGTTTCACTAATGGTTATACCAGAACTCATAAATCAATTTCCTATTTTATTATGGTAACTGCATTTGTGAAAGTATTTACTTTTATGACATATATTTGAATATTACTCATACACGTACAGATGCATACATGAGAGCAAGAGTGATAATAAGACCGAACACTTTTGGGCATTTACTTTGTGTGAGGCACCGTTCTAAAACCTGTACCTATATTGACAAATTTCATCCTTACAAAAAGGTAATGAAGTGTATTTTCCAAGGCATTTTAAATTATCCAATTTTAACTTCAAAAGCGCGTTGCCGGATATGTTCACAAACAACCAATTTAGCCGATGATAGTTCACTGAAAAAAGGATACGTTTTACAAACCTTTGTTATGGCACTATCTCAGGCATTTATTTGGGTCCAAATTTCAAGAATCCTGTCACCTCTATTCCCACTGTTATGTTTTCTTCACTCGGTTGGACCTCCTTAAATATAGTGCTAATTTCAATCAAGTCCAAGTTTGCTACATCTCTCTGAATGCCAGCCAATCAGAAAACTACAGGCACCAATCTCAAGGTCAAACGCTCTACAACTAGGCCAGCTACCCAAGCTCGATCCTTTGCTACTAAGGCCCTAAGAGGCCTCAAGGCCAAGCCAACCCAAATTCTGACACTCTTTTTTGCCTTCTTCATTAGAGCATAAGTAACTCGAATGCTACAGCCATTAGTTTCACCAGTGGGTGGCTCCCTTATCACCCCCCAAAATACTGTACACTTACGAAGGCATTTATCATTTGATTTGTTACCAAAGACAAAGAAATCGGCATGCGTACCTGCATTTTTAAAAGCGAGTCTGCACGTAGTAGTTTAATTTTTGACAGAATATTAAAGACAAATGGAAAATGACTGAATATGACAGGATGCTGGATGTCTTCTACAGTGTCCTAAAAATGGAAATAAGAACAATTCTGATAAGTGAAAGGACAGAGCTATCTTACGTCTGACCTCGTAGCCTTTAACCTCTGATGGGTGAAGGTCTCAGTACTTACGGCCAAATCAATTCAAATTGCTTGGCAGTAGTACTTAAATACATAAAATTCTAAGAAAATGTTTTACATGTACCAATGAAAGGTATAGAGACCTGGTATTTTCAGTGCTCATTTACCAATTAACTGAAATTCTGGGCACTTTCCCAGAGTCTGTTCTACTGCCACCCACACTTGTGAAATGTAAATGAGTTCAGATGTATTAAGTAAACAGCCCACCAGTCCTCTAATTAGGGTGTAGGTAGAGGTCCACCCTTTCGTTTTTTGTGTGTTTTTCATATTTGCATGGCACGCTCCACATGACGCTTGTCTGGTAGACCCAAGCTACCTGCCCAGGTAGCAACCACTTTTCTGTTAGTGCTCTGGCTCCAAAACTGCACAGGTTTTGAGGGGTCTGTTTTGCTTTTCCCAATAAGCCCTGCTATTTCTATTGGGCAATTTTGCAGAATGCAAGGATTTTGGACACTCCTGTAGAAAGTTACAGCACAAATGCCTATATTAACTCATTGATGATCCAATTTCCTCTTTATACATGCCATACTTACTAAGTTCTTTTTCCAAGAGCTCCTTCTACGTGCATCTTCATAAAAATCAAGGCAGTGCGCGAGTTCATTTACTTGGAAAATATTTTCAGGCAGTTGAAATTTAGTCTGGTTTACCTTAAATAAAATATAACTAATGAGAAAGTTTTCTATATAAAGATAATTTTGCTTAATGGCTATTAGATTCTCAGGATAAATGCAAATTACTAGTAAACACCCTTCATGACCAGAGAATAAAGTTCTACCCAATTCCTCCACTGTCAAAACCCCACATGTCCAGGAACATAAAGAATGTCTAACATTTCATAGTAGAAATTGATAACTAAGATGACAAATTTCTACTTACTTTTATTTATCTTTTAAATATATTTTTCTTGATTTCAGAGAGGAAAGGAAAAGGAGAGAGAGGTAGAAACATCAATGATGTGAGAGAATCATCTATCAGCTGCCTCCTGCATGCCCCCCACTGGGGACTGAGCCCGCAACCCGGGCATGTGCCCTGACTGGGAATAGAACTGTGACCTCCTGGTTCATAGGTCAATGCTCAACTGAGCCATGCCAGCCTGGAAACGTCTAGCTACTTTTAATTCATAGAAAAAAAAAGAAGTTTTAAGAAACTTTAAGTCCAAAGAAAAATACAGTGCAATATAAATCCAAAGTACTCTGGGGCCCAATATTGCATGTCATGTTCTTCAGAGATTTACAATATACCATTTATAGATGTTCCCTCTGGCAAGGCATATATAGAGCATTTCCTCCTAATTGTGGGAGAATTTTCAGTTTTCTATCCCGATGTGACCAGGGAATATTATGAAGTACCTATGAACACCGTGGCTCAGTGCTAGCATCAGTCACCGAAGACACTGATAACGACATTAGATGCTTTGGACATGAGTGACCATCAGTATTTGACCGGGATGGGCACAGTCCTGGACTGAATGACTAATGCTGAGGAGGTCTTCTAAAAGCCCCTCTGTGGCTGTGTAAAGAACACACATATCCTACAAGCGATCACTTCCAGAATTAGGTATGGAAACTAAAAACCAACTCTTGATACATGAACACCAAGACATTCATACAGGAATGTTTATAGAAACAGGTTTTCACATAGAGAACCCCCCCCCCCCACTCCAAAAGAACTGCAAACAGCACATATACCCATCAGTACTGAAATGAATAATCATGGTACATCACAGAACAGACTATGATGTAAAAATGAAAATGAATGCAGCCATGAGTACTAATCTGGAAGAATTTGTAGAACAAATGTGTAAGACACATGTATTCCACTCATGTAAATTTCAAAAACAGCAAAATTAAACAGCGTACGTACATCCATCCATCCATCCATCTATCTATCTATCTATCTATCTATCTATCTATCTAGCACCTATCTACCTATTGTTGTAAAACAATAAAGAAGAGTAAGGGAAGGATGAACCCAAAACCCAGGATCATGGGTATCTCCAAGAGGTGAGGGGATGCAATCTGAGAGAAAAATACACAGGCATTTCAAAAGTACTGGAAATACTTTCTTTTCCAACATGGGCAGTAGTTACACTGATGTCTGTTTTATTAGTTTTCTTCAAACTGTTCACAGATACTATATACATTCTTTTATATGCATGGCTTAATTCACAAAAAACAAAATTTAAAAAATAGCAATATAAACTTCATGTTTCAAGAGTCTGTTTAAGATTCAGGCCAGGAGAAACCCTTACCCTGTGCAGCTTTTTCAGCATTTCTAGGAGAACTTTAATGTGACAGTTACTTTCAGCATCTTCAGCCCAGTAACGCAGTTGAGCAGTGATGGCTCTTTTAAACATCTGGACCAGTTCCATGAAAGTGGAGTCATGCAGAGATGCCCAATATTCCTCTGAGGGATACAAAGGTAAATAAATGTTAACGTGATTTCTCTTGGATTCTTAAAGGTATTAAAGTGGTCCATATTTTCCAAAACTGATAGAATAGGGTGGGGTGGCCGGGAAGAGGACAATGGGGGAAAAAGGAGACATATGTAATATATGTAATACTTTAAAAAATAATTTTTAAAAACCTGATATATTTTTTTATATGTCACAGTTACAAAAACATATTTGTATTAAATTTTTCAGAGAATATGATTGCAATTAAAAGTTCAGAATCTGCCCTAGCTTGTTTTGCTCAGTGGATAGAGTGTCAGCCTATGGACTGAAGGGACATGGGTCTAGGGCACGTGTCCAGGTTGTGGGCTCGATATCCAGTAGGAGGCGTGCAGGAGGCAGCCGCTCAATGATTCTCTCTCATCATTGATGTTTCTATCTCTCCCTCCCTTTGCCTTCCTCTTTGAAATCAATAAAAATATATTTTAAAAAGTCTATGCTCAAACTTAAAAGAAAAAAAAGTTCAGAATTTAATGCCCTAAAAAAAATTCCTTGACAGTAATAGGACCTCAATCTTGATATTAATCTGTGAAAAAAGAGACATTAAATTAGTTACATTTTATTCCAGGCTGAGGAGCATACTGTATGGAAAACTAGATTAAGAACTACTCATGACTGCATGACTTTTTTTTGTGCTCCCAGCATGAGTTTTTAACTCTTAAATAACACCTTTCAGCATTGTAAAAAACAGCAACAAAAACATTTTAAACAGCTTTTCATCCCTTACAATGGTATCTAGATTTAATATTAGAATGGATTATGTAAAAAATAAAGAAACCCCATTAAATCTAATTAAGCCCCTAGAACTAACTTCCAATGTACTGGAGACACAGGGAAGGAGGAAACAGACAACTCTAGAGCTGGGACATTCTCCAAGGCAACTAACGTAGATTTTTTAAATAAAGCAGTCCATAAAATATCTTTTGCAAAAATTTTAATATGGCTGGAATATTAGGCAATTATTATGAAATTACTAGAGGCCTGGTGCATGAGATTCATGCACTGGGGGGTGATCCCTCAGCCTGGCCTGTGCCCCCTCGCAGTCCGGGACCCCTGGCTCCTTACCGCCTGCCTGAGCTCACCAGCCATGAGCCCAGCTTCTGGCTGAGTGGTGCTCCCCCTGTGGGAGCGCACTGACCACCAGGGGGCAGCCCCTGTATTGAGCGTCTGCGCCCTGGTGGTCACTGCACATCATAGTGACCAGTTATTCTGCATTCAATGGATTTGCGTATTAGGGTTTTAATATACAGGACGGCTAATTTTATTAGGTGCATAATGATGTCATAATGTAGATTTCCATATGTTAAGTGATGCATGATTAACTATTATAGGTGCAGTATCATAATATCCCCAACTTTCTTTCAAATAATTCAGCAAAATTAAAATGTAATCTGTACTTAGAGAGGAAGCCACAGACAACAGGGGGGTGAGGGCATGAGTGCGGGGATGGGGAGTGATGTGGGGATAAGGACACATATGTAATAACTTAATCAATAAAAAATTAAAAAAAGAGGAAGCACATAAGGCAACATGTTAATTGTTGCTGACTCTCAGGTAGAGGGTACTCACTGGACTATTCCTTTAACTTCTGTGTATGAAATTTTTCACAATGAAAAGTTGGGAACAAAAAACCTCATGACCATGCCACACATAGGTCATGGTAAGAACTCTAAACAGGTACTGGAACACTCTATTTTGGATGTCCAGAGTCATTACTAGAGTGTCTTTAGAATACACTAAGAATACAAGATAAAAAACATGAATGTGTTCCCATTTCTCTACCTAAGTTTTGCCATAACTTTAGGAGGCATATCTTTCCTTGAGAGAATGGTGCCGAACCGGTTTGGCTCAGTGGACAGAGCATCGGCCTGCGAACTCAAGGGTCCCAGGTTCGATTCCGGTCAAGGGCATGTGCCTTGGTTGCGGGCACATCCCCACTGGGGGGCGTGCAGAAAGCAGCTGATGGATGTTTCTCTCTCATCAATGTTTCTGGCTCTCTGTCCCTCTCCCTTCTTCTCTGTAGAAAATCAATGGAATATATTTAAAAAAAAAGAGAGAGAATGGTAAATTTCACATGTAAATCATCAATCTTACCCAGAGCCTCTGAAGATTTATCATTCATTTCACAAACAGCCTCTGCAAACGGAACCACCAGGCTCTCCCAGTTGTTGTAATCATGCATCACGGGACATTCTGGGAGGAGGAAGAAGATCTCTAAGGCTTCTCGGTGGGGAGAAGAAAATGGAAGGTGTTTGAGCAGATTATCCTTGAGACAGGTGGTTATCTGCAGCAAAAAAAATAACCAGGGAGAAGGCACTCAAAACACAGCAGGAAAAAGCCCCAGGAGGGACTGGGTGCAACTTACTGTAAATAAAGCGTAGAACCTGAAGTTTCATTGCACCATGAAACTGGAATGATCGTTTAGTTTTTCTAACACCTATGCTGATATCCCATCTTACCGAGGCTCCCAGTGCCTGAGGTGTGGATATGTGACAAGTATTGTCTTTATTCAATTATTGTGAGTGCATGAAGGAGATAAAAAAGAAATCACATGTTAAGAGTTGTTCTGGAGGAAGTGGGTTCAGAACTAACAGGCAGCCACTCAGTAATAAATACTACATTGCACCCTCTGGTTCCACTATCATATCTCATTTTTTTTTTAAAGAGCAAAAATGTGTTAGAAAAAAGCAAAAGAAAAATAAAACCCCAAACAAAGAAAAAGTAACAAGTGCAACAACGAAAATCAAAATTGTTTCCTATTGTCTTCCTATAGGACCTCATCACCAACTCTCCCCACCACACACTTTAGTTTCTAGTCCTTCCAATCTCCTCAGTTTCCCTAATCAGAATGCAAATGTTCAGGAAAACATCAAATGCAATTCTGAATTTTTACTGGTCATGTGTGCTCAGATAATAAAAATAATTTGTTTTACCCTAGCTGGTTTGGCTCAGTGGATGGAGCATCAGCCTGCGGACTGAAGGGTCCGGGTTCGATTCCAGTCAAGGAAGGGCACATGCCTGGGTTGTGGGCTTGATCCCCATTGGGGGAGCATGCGGGAGGCAGCCGATCAATGATTTCTCTCATCACTGATGTTTCTATCTCTCCCTCTCTCTCTGAAATCAGTAATAATATATTTTTAAAAATTTGTTTCAAAACCCACTAAAAAGCTAGTATTTATGGAGTTATCTGTCAGGTGCTATATGATTTGCATATATTAAATTTTTTTTAAAATATATTTTATTGATTTTTTAAAAATATATTTTATTGATTTTTTTTAAATATATATTTTTTAAATATATTTTATTGATTTTTTACAGAGAGGAAGGGAGAGAGATAGTGTTAGAAACATCGATGAGAGAGAAACATCGATCAGCTGCCTCCAGCACATCTCCTACTGGGGATGTGCCCGCAACCCAGGTACATGCCCTTGGCCGGAATCGAACCTGGGACCTTTCAGTCCGGAGGCCGACGCTCTATCCACTGAGCCAAACCGGTTTTGGCAAATAGGTCATTTAATCCTTATAGTTTTACTATAACATAGATACTACTGACCCCATTTTATAGATGAGAAATCTGTACTTCAGAGAAATTAACTTAATCTAGGTCATACAACTAAATGGGAATCTCTCCTGAATCTTTCAGACTCCAAACCCTAGTTCTTTCTTAACCACTAAGTTATCACACTACCTAATGGTATCTCTAAACGTACACATTTTTAATATTTTCTCTTTTTTACATCAAAACATACTGGGCTCCTACTATGTGGCTCAGTCTCTGGAGTTACATACACCTGACAACTCTATTTAATGACGTTTCGACAGCATACATCCTTCCTCTTTGCTCATCGCTAGCCACATCCCCAAACCTCCCAACCCACTCGGAACTATTGCAATACTCTCAAGCCAGTTGCATGTTTCATACCCCAAGCCTCCATGAACACTTCCCTCGCTTCCAGGAGTGCCCTCCCCATGTAGGCACCTACTTCCCCTGGGCACCTTGTTTTGTTTGAGTGCTGTGAGTAGAGCCGACTATCCAGGGCCTTAGTCATGACTGAATTCATTCATTCGAAATATTTACTATATACCTACTATGTTCTACGCTAGGCATTAGGGAAGAGAGTGGCGTGTAAAACACACCCAGTCTTCCCATTAGTAGCTCCATGAACGTGTCTATGTGCCAAACTAAGCCATGACCTTCTAAGGGCAGAGCATGGTTCTTCCATGGTTTATCAGGAATCCTCATTGCAATGTCCCGCACAAAGCAATATTCAGATGTTTGCTACATAAATGAATGCCAAGGCTGTGACTCTCTATCACAGAAATCTCTAAAGAGAAACATTACAGGCCTTCTGACCCAATTGCCCATTTGAAATAGTGGAAGATTGCTCTCTGTTATGTCACTTACACTTTATGATACTGTGCTGGCACAACCAAGATATAATTAGCCTTCCCTTCACAGGTGCAGAAATGGCCTTCTATTTTGTGTGTGATCTTTCCATTAAGTGCTGCAGAGTCCTGATAAAGGGGCATCATTAGGGATCCATTTTAACTCAGATCCCTAATTGGGCCATGGTTCTGTCAAAGTTAACAGAATTGAACTTTAACCTTCCCTTGCGATACAGGAATGTGTGTGAGAGAGAACTTGAAAGCTAAGATGCAGAATGCTGTTTTTTGCAGACAGCAACAGAGCAGGTGAGGGAGCTAAGAGGGAGGGAGAGAGATTAGAGCAAGATTGAGAGGGAAAAGGAGAGAAACTAAGATGGCGGCATAAACACCGGGAAATTGCTGCTTCCCACAACAATCGATAAATGCATCAAAAACACAAGGTGGACATCATCCAGAACTACAGGAGGGCTGGCTGAGTGTAAATTCTACAACTAGAAGGAAAGAAAAGCACACTGCGAGCAGGAGGAGCTGCGGAGGTGGAGTGCAGAGGTACGGGGGCTCGCGCGCGGAAAGGGTCTGGCACCTGAGGACGCGGCTGTCTTTTTGAATCCAGAGGGAGACACAAGCTCCCGACGGCTCTGAAATCTGGTTCCGGGAAGTCTCTGGGGACCCAGGACTCATACGGGGAGATACTGGACTGTCTGGCAGCGGGCCAACTTGAGAGCGGCTTTCCCTCAGAGGTGCTTGCAGCCATTGCCGGGACACTGGGACTCTCGACTCCTTAGGGCGGGGCTGAGGCTCCGCCATAGCTGCTTTCTCCGCCCTTTGATTTCATGAGACCCCGCCCCGCCCAGGCTGCGACAGAGGCTTTTGCATATGAATGCCCCGGCCATTTGCAACCTGTAATTACCTAACGGCAGCCGGGCCAGATAGACCCAGAGCTTCCAAGAGAAGGCCCAAGGCCCCACAGTGGCTTGCATTCCTACACAGCTGAGCATTATCAGGGCACTTCCAAACTCCAAAAAAAAAGAAGGGGAATTTGCAGTTCTCTTCATAGTTCCTGCTGTGTAACCTCAGGCAGAGGCTAAATTAGCACCTCCTTAGATCCAAGAGCCATTGTACCCAATGTTCAGAGGGGAACCATCCAGATCACAACTCCTCAGATCCATAAGGGACACACTCAGGGTGCAGTCTCAGTGAGCACCAAAGCCCCACTGAAGCAAGTCTTGCCCCAGAATGGTGTCTCCAGCACAGAAGTTCTCCCACTGCAGACACAGCTGATTCTCACTGCCAATTGGCCTGGAGGTCAATTCCTCCCAGTGATCCTACAACAACCAAGGCATAGCTACAACAAGACTGTGCACAAAGCCCACAAGGGGGTGCACCAAGAGTGTCCACCTCAGGTAGCTGGGGAGGCTGAGACACTGGGCCCTACAGGACACCTAGCACACAAAGCCACTCTATCAACACAGGGAAAGCAGCCAAAATGCGGAGACAAAGAAACAGGTCACAAATGGCAGAAATGGAGGAAAGCAAACGACTGGATATAGAGTTCAAGGCCACGTTTATAAGGTTTTTCAAGAATTTTATGGAAACCGCCGATAAATTTAATGAGTCCCTCAATAAGTATAGTGAGACCATGGAGGACATGAAAAAGGACCAACTAGAAATTAAGCATACACTGACTGAAATAAAGAATAATATACGGAGATCCAACAGCAGACAAGAGGATCCCAAAAATCAAGTCAAAGATTTGAAATACAAAGAAACAAAAAATACCCACTGAAAACGAAAAAAGAAGAGATTCCAAAAATATGAAGATAGTGTAAGGAGCCTCTGGGACAACTTCAAGCGTACCAACATCAGAATTATAGGGGTACTAGAAGAAGAGAGAGGGCAAGATATTGAAAACCTATTTGAAGAAATAATGACAGAAAACTTCCCCTACCTGGTGAAAGAAATAGACTTACAAGTCCAGGAAGCGCAGAGAACCCCAAACAAAAGGAATCCAAAGAGGACCACACCAAGACACATCATCATTAAAATGCCAAGAGCAAAAGACAAAGAGAGAATCTTAAAAGCAGCAAGAGAAAGACAGTCAGTTACCTACAAGGGAGTACCCATACGACTGTCAGCTGATTTCTCAACAGAAACCATGCAGGCCAGAAGGGAGTGGCAAGAAATATTCAAAGTGATGAATAGCATGAACCTGCAACCAAGATTACTTTATCCAGCAAAGCTATCATTCAGAATAGAAGGTCAGAGAAAGAGCTTCACGGATAAGAAAAAGCTAAAGGAGTTCATCACCACCAAACCAGCATTATATGAAATGCTGAAAGGTATTCTTTAAGAAGAGGAAGAAGAAAAAGGAACTCTTACCATTTGCCACAGCATGGATGGAACTGGAGAGCAGATAAATACCACATGATCTCACTCATTTGTGGAATATAATGAACAACACAAACTGATGAACAAGGACTGATCCAGAGACGGAGAGGCATTGATTGGACTGTCGGGCTTTGAAGGGAGGGTAGGAGAGGGTGGGGGTAAGAGGGAAAGATCAACCAAAGGACTTACATGCAGGCATATAGGCCTAACCAATGGACACGGACAACGGGGGGGGGAGGGTGAGGGCATGAGCGGGGGGGGGGGGGTAGAGGGTAACGTGGGGACAAGGACACATATGTAATATCTTAATCAATAAAAATATATTTTAAAAAAAAAGATTGAGAGGGAAAGAGAATGAGAGATATAAAAACAGAAGAAAGATGAAAGGGGGGGTGGGAGGGAGAAGGAGAGAGAAAGGGGGGAGGAAGAGTGAGAAGGTAAGCGGGGAGAGGAAGAGGAAGGCAAAAAGAAAAGAAGTGAAGGAGAGAGAAAGAGGAACCAGAGTGAGACCCAGAAAGAAACACATTGAGAGAACATAGCAAGTACCACCCCTACATCAACCAGTACAACAATATGGGGAAATAAATAAAGGCTGAATCAAGAAAGGCTAATTCAATAACGGAAGTATGTTTGCATGATCTGCAAGTGGGAAACCTAAAGACAGTAATGACAGCGCTGAAACAAAGAAGCAACAGTCTCAAAAAGAACAAAAATATTACAGAACCTACAGAAAAGGAAGTGCAATGGAACAAAACAGAGGAAGAATCCAGAAAGTCCTCAGTGAAGGGAATGTTCATGTCAGAAAAATTATTCTCATTTCTATACTTATGTTTAAAATATTCTAGTGTTCCAATCTCAATAATTTCTTTAATCATCTTCCTAATGCCCCAAGAGTGCCTATCTATTTACACTATTTTTAACCTGAGTGACTACTGTTTGCACTCTGTGGGCAAACACCTGAATGCTATCTGAGTTTAATCTGGATATACAACAAGGTCTCAGAGAATGTCTCAAAACAAAATATTTCTTTGGAAATTTTGAGTTCTTATAAAAAATATTTTAGTGATTCCCCTTTTCCAAACAATGTGAAGAATACCACCATGTTAGTAATCCAGTCTTTCTGGGTTAACTCCTTAAAGGTGTTTCTTGCTTTAGTTAAGTCCAAATGAGTAAACGTGGTGTCTGCAGCTATTCTGTGGAAGAAAAATTTTAAAAAGAGATAAGTAAATGAAAAAGTTCAATTCAAAATTAAATACTAGATTATTCAGATGAAAGGCTTTTTTCTAAAGCTTGCTTTCACTTCAATAATTTTATATTTTCCTCAACTTTACAATAACTATAATAATTTGGCTGAATACAAATACAATTAAAAACATAGCTGATGCCCTAACTGATTTGCTCAGTGGTTAGAATATCGGCTGAGGACAGAAGGGTCATAGGTTTAATTCTGGTCACAGGCACATTCCTGGGTTGCAGGTTTGATCTCCACCTGGTCGGGGCACATGCAGGAGGCAACCAATCAATGTGTCTCTTTCTCAGTGATGTTTCTTCTCTCTGTCTCTCCCCCCTCTCTTCTACTCTCTCTGAAAAATAGATGGAAAAAATATCCTCAGGTGAGGACTAACAACAAATATATATATATTTATATCTAACAACATATGATTTCTAAAATTTCAAAAATCTTAAGGCTGAATTAATAATATATGCAGTCTAACTTTAACTCAGATATTGTCTTATCTCAAATGGATAATCAATAAATATTTATTTTCCATTAAAAAAACAGCCACAGCCCTGGCCAGTCTCACTCAGTGGTTAGAGTGCTGGCCCCAGTCAAGGGCATGTACCTGGGTTGCAGGTTCCCCAGCCCCCGTAGGGGTGTGTGTGTGGAAGGCAACCAATTGATGTGTCTCCTTTATGTTGATGTTTCTCTTTCTCTCTCCCTCCTCCCTGTCTTCCACTCTCTCTAGAAATCAATGGGAAAAATATCCTCAAGTGAAGATTAAAAAAAAAAAAAGGCAATTTCTCTGAGTTACATAAAGTGAAAGTGGGGACCAAAAAAAGAGGGTTCAGAGCAGTAAATTGTTAGTATTCTAATAAACCATAATGATGTGTATTTAAGCTATGAACTGCATTTGTAGTACACTGAATATAGTCACCCTCTAAAAATAGACACATTCTTTGTAAAACAATACATATATTTAGTGTCTGAAAATATTCTTTTAAATAAAAATTATATAAATATTTAGAAAAAGAAGTATAAAGTTTTTCCCTCAGAACATTTAAAAATTCAAAGAAATCTTAATATCTTACAAGAAAGTCTTTAAATAAGTTAGAGTATGTCCTTCCCAAGGAATACCATGCTGCCATTAAAATGAGGTTATAAAAAATATGAATATGGAAACTGAACAAAGTGAAAAACAGACAAATATATTAAGTATAAAGTAATGAATAAAGCAACATATAATCCCATTTTTTGGTAAAAGAATATATTTACATAGAAAAAATATACACATTAACTGTTACTCTTAGATGGTGGATTATGGATGATTTTCATTTTTTTGTTGCTGTGTATCTGTATTTCTGACATTTTCTATGTCAAGCATATATTTGCTTTTGTAAAAAAATATATAAAGAGATAAACACATAGTTAATTAAAGTACTCAAACCAGTACTTTATAATCTTTCAAAGTATTTTTAAAATTGAGATATAATTAACATATAACATTATATTAGTTTCAGGTATATGAAATAATGAGTCAGTATAGGTAGATATTACAAAATGATCACCACAATAAGTCTAGTTAACATCCATCATCACAGTTACAATTTTTTGTCATAATTTTTAAGATCTCTCTTAGCAACTTTCAAACATAAAATACAGTATTAACTATGCACCATCTGTACACAGTATTTTTAACGGAACTTTATAAATTTATTATATATATTACCTTTCCCTTACAAAACTTCCAGTCAGACATGCAGGAGATGAAAATATCTCTCTGATTTCCCTATATTAGGAATAAGACGGTGGTACAAACAAATAATGAATACGCCTTCTTATGAGACATAATGATTAAAACATCTTATAATTGCCCTCAAACCTCTCCCTCTGTCTCCAATCTGTTTGTTATTGCCTTGGGTATCTAAAAGTTGATTCCATTTGCTAAATCTCAAATTTTCAGTGGCAAACATGGGCAATCAAAGGATATGTATTCAGAGAAACCACGGGGAAAGCAGAAAAGGCTTGACGTAGGGTAGTATTTTCTCTGACAAATTAAACACTCTCATCCCACCCAACTTTTCCCAGCCCTATTTATTTCTGTTCCACTGATGTGTAAACCAAAAAATTAACAGAAATTGAGGTCAGGGTTACAGTAAGCTCAGATCCATCTTTGTAACTTTTTAAATAACTACTTTCTAGAATTAGAAAGCCATACCTAAAAAAACACTAAACAGACTTTTTGTAAATATAAGTATAGTCTTTATAGATGGTAGAAGTTGTTGAGCTGTGATGAGGAGGTCCACAAACAAGTGGTTCTAAGGTCAAATACGGTTGGGAACCTGTGACTGTATTTCCTGCTCAGATAGTCAAAATAGATGCAAACATGTCAAAGGCCCAGAGAAGTTCTGCAGTAAAGAAAGCTGCCTTCATGGAGATTCCATGCTAGTTGTGATGATTATTGTATGTTTCAATAATAGTACAATAATAATATAATAATAATACTAATAATAATAATAATAATAATAAAATAATAATAATTGGCTAGGCAACGGTATCCAGATTTTTGGTCAAACACCAACCTAGATGTTGCTGTAAAAGCATTAGAATAGATTACACTTAAGTCAGCAGACTTTGAGTAAAGCAGATTATCTATATATATAAAAAGCCCATGGCCCTAACCCCATAACGCTGTCAAGACCAAATGAGCAGTGGCTCTCATGTCGGGCGAGGAGGGGCAGGGCACGAGCTAATAGGGGCGGAGAGCTACGTGCAGCTGAGGCAAGCGGAAGCAAGCTACTTGCACAAGATTTCGTATACACCGGACCTTTAGTTCTCTATAATATGAGTGAGCTTTGTCCAATCAGTTGAAGGCCTTAAGAGAAAAGGGTTAATGTAAGGCCTAAGGAGAAAATTCTGCCCCCAGACTTCCTTGGGACTCAAGCTGCAATATCAAGTCTTACCTGGGTTTCCCTGCTGGTCTCCCTTGTGAATTTTATACTTACCAGCCCTCTTAAACACATGAGCTCTGGGAATCTCTGGCAAGTGGACCCTTAGCAGACCACAAATCTTACAGTTCTGTACGGTGAGGAACTAATGGGGGGACATACATAGCTTTGGAGCCTTGCATAAGCAGACAGTCGGACACATGGGTATACCTTTTTGTATTTTGCCACTGCTTAGTCCCCACATCAGCAATCCATCTCTTCACAGTCCCTTCATTCAATGTAGGAATTTTCCTTTTCAGATTAACGTATGCATTCTGTAAACACACAAAAAGGAAAGAAATATAATTATTTAGACACCACAGAAATAGGTATCCAACTTACAGGCATATTCTAAGGATGGATGGTAAAACAGACTTTTTAAATACGAATAATAGAGCTCTGGGCAATGATAGAGTGAGTAATCAATCATTTCCTGATGGCCAATTTCAATACAAATTTAGACCCAAAGTAAATTTCTCTGAGTGCTCTAACACTTAGCACTTTACACAGGTGTGATTGGATCAAAACGAATATCATCACACAGCTTTGAGGGGAAGGCAAATCCTAACAGGGCTGAGTGTAGAAGTGGGAGGAACTTTATTTGCCTTGGTGAAGTAGGGCAAGGACTTATTCATATGCCTATGAACCTCAGATCTGTTTTAGTACTGGCTGGCAGAACTATATTAGAAAGTCAACCACTGGCTCTCTAAGGCACTGACCAAATGCCACTGGCAGGGGCCTCCCCAAAGATATGAGGAATCTAAGGAAATCTCACTGATTCGATATTCACGTGGGACAAATCTGATCTTTGTGGGTACATATTATGTAGTTTAGACAATAAAGCATCAATGTCTAACCAAATCCCCAAAAGTCAGCCTAGTCACCCGATGATTTTGGAATTTACCACACTTGGATTCTGGAACTGTTTGTTTTGCTTAAAATACCAAGTTCTAAAACATCTAGAGATCTCTTTTTACCTCTTTTTTCATCCAGAGCAAAATGCTTTGATTTCCTCCAGCAATTATTATTAACTCATTTTCTGAGGTATGGCTTTCTGAAAGGGATATACAGAAAGTTAGAGTTTAAAATTTGGTACAAACATGCACACTCATTTTAATTTCAGATTCTTTTAAAACTTAGTCCTTTTAGCTTTCTGATAGACAAAGACTCTGCACATTTCCCACCATAAAGCAGAAATATATATATTTACTTCATGGTAAAGTGTAGTTGGCAAACCGGTGATTCACAAGGTTGATATGTGGCATCAGTTTAATGTACAGAATTAATGCCAATGCACATATATATTTCACTGTCAAATACTTGATTAGTTAACTGTTCCTTGGTGTCATTTGGCTCCTATTACTAAAAACTATACTCTGCAACTCAAGATTTGACCAATGACTATTGGCTGTGAGGAATGTAAATAAGTATTTCCAAAGTCTATGTAAGTGGTTAGAAGAAATCAAGTATATGAGCTGCTTAAGGAAATAACCCTACTGTCCCTTTTCCCAGGAGAACTGAGAGAATTCTGGTACTTTAGGTCACCACTAAACCTTCAGAACGGTAACTAAAGCGCTCCGAGGTACTTCTAGAGTAGAGGGTTTCAGAGCTCAGGCTGAGGTTGCACAGGACACAGTTCAAATCCAGCCGGACCACTTACTGGCCATGAGCCTTGGCTAACCCTTCACTCTCTGTCTCTGCACCTCCAGTAAAATGCGACTGAGAGTCCCCATCTCCCTGCACTGTTTAAGGATTAGATAACACACACGAAGTGTTCAGCAGTTACCTCGCATATATCAGCTGCTCTCGTTCTGAGGGTTTTACATGATTACTTAAGCAGGTAAGAAAACCAAACACCGTGAAATTAATAGGCCCCCTGCAAACTGGAATCAGAGGCTGCATATGCTTCTGAATCCATGGAGTCTATTTTATGTTGTATCATTTTAAGTCCACATTTATCTTAATCTGAAGAGGTAAGAGAAAACTAATGATTAACTTACTTGATAAATTAGACTGGATATTTTAAATGGTTTGTAAGCAAACAATGAAACCAATGTTTAGAGAAACTCCCTTCAGTCATACAATTTCTTTTCTTTTTCTTTTTTTTAAATTTTATATTTCTTTATTGATTTCAGAGAGGAAGGGAGAGGGAGAGAGAGCTAGAAACATCAATGAGAGAGAATCATTGATCGGCTGCCTCCTGCATGCCCCCCACTCGGGATGGAGCCTGCAACCCAAGCATATGCCCTTGGCTGGAATCGAACCTGGAACCCTTCAGTCCGCAGGCCGACGCTCTATCCACTGAGCCAAACAGGCTAGGGCAGGGGTGGGCAAACTTTTTGACTCGAGGGCCACAATGGGTTCTTAAACTGGACTGGAGGGACAGAACAAAAGCATGGAAGGAGTGTTTGTGTGAACTAATATAAATTCAAAGTAAACATCATTACATAAAAGGGTACGGTCTTTTTTTTTTTTAGTTTTATTCATTTCAAACGGGCCGGATCCGGCCCGCAGGCCGTAGTTTGCCCATGGCTGGGCTAGGGCATTTCTTTTCTTGACACAGTACAGTTTCTCGACAAAAGTATTTACTCCAAATCCTGTGCTCCTATAGAATTTACCAAATTTGAGTTCTTCATTTGATGGCAATTTCATGGGAAGTGGAATCAGCTGATTCTGCGTTCCACCGTTTCCCAGTTGTCCTTCTTTTCCAGAACCAAAAGAAAAGACCTTCCCCAAATCAGACACATAGGCAAGTGTGTGCCGCCTATTAAATAAAAACACACATATGGTCAGTTCTCAATTATCCACAATGAGAGTTCACAGCAATGCAGGAAACTGTCAAAATTAGGTCACTAGTGGGTGAAACTAGCTAACCAACTGCCAAGGCATGACATTAGCCACCTGGACAGGAAATCATTCATGTGTGGTTGAGATGACTCACAGCCATGATCTGTACCTTGGCAAGTGGTGTTCCCTGCATGAGGAACAAGCACCTCCCGTTGCCGTGGACTCCTTCTTAAGCCTTGGCTTGACAGCCACCACCTCTTGGAAGCCACCTCTAAGCCCTTCCTCTCCCGTGCTAGAAAATGGAATTAGGGGATCCTCCGAGTTCCCACTCTAGTTCCCAAAGACCTTTATCACCCTGATTTTCTTACAACTTTGTTCAATGGTCTCACCCACTACATAGAATTTGGCCTTGCTCAAATAGAGGTCTGACCTTTGTCCTCAGGGCCTGGGAGGTAACTTCTAAATTCTTAAAACTCCCCAAACAATAGGTGTGTCTTTATTATTCATGGCAGGCCCCTGACTTAATAGTTTACCCAGGTGGCTCAGGGGGGTCCCTCTGGCCACCAGTAAGGCAAACCTACAGGGAGGGAGACACTGGAATTTGAATTCAACTACCTAGATCAGTGGTTCCCAACCTTTTTTTGGCCAAGCCCCACCAAAGCATCTCTAAAATCCTGATGCCCCCTCCACCCCCGCCCCCTGACATATAATTCTTCTTATTCAAAAAGTGAACTCCTATTCATGTGCAGAAAGCCTAAAAGGACATTAACATTAACTTGGTCTAAACAAGCTTCTAAAGAACATAGCATCAACCATTGAGAAAAATAAAAAACAAAAGGACGGTTTAAGTACTGAGGAAGAAATCACTAAGAAATTGTTAAAAAATAATAATATGAAGTGATATGAAAAAATAGCAAATAAAGTTTCAAAAACATATAATAGAGAACTGAAATGCATAAATATGTCGCAATATATATTTACATACTATATATGAGGCCCCTAGAACCATAAGAAATGGAAAAAAATTCACTGTTAATAACTCGTTCTCAAATTGCCCCCCTTACAAATCAAATTGTCCCCCTGTGGGACCCCACGCTGGGAACCACGGACCTAAAACAATGATTCAATTAATCACGACTAAGCAATGAAACCACAATTCAGGCAGTCCTGGACATACCCTGTTTCGTGGTTACGTTGTCATCTCCCATTTACAGTATTTATAAAAAAAAGTTTGTCATTTCAACATATATACATATGTTTTATGTTTTTATGATTTATTTACCACAAGGTCAGGAATTGTTATCTTTCTTCTTTTAAATTCTTTCTTTTACTGTTTCACTTCATTACTGCTATGTATGTGCTCTATGTGAGTGACGTAGGTGCTTATATAGGTGGGTTCCGACTTAAGGCGATTCGAGTTTCGTCTTGCAGTAGGAACGGATCTCCGATGTAACCAAATGAGTTTGTCTGTGATCACTCTGAGAGAATTGTGGTGATTAAGTATGATGGCCCCGAGGGGTTATCAACGAATAATCTTTTTTAAAAAAATATATATTTTATTGATTTTTTTACAGAGAGGAAGGGAGAGGGATAGAAAGCTAGAAACATCGATCAGCTGCCTCCTGCACACTACCCACTGGGGATGTGCCTGCAACCAAGGTACGGCATGCCCTTGACCGGAATTGAACCTGGGACCCTTGAGTCCGCAGGCTGACGCTCTATCCACTGAGCCAAATCGGTTAGCGAATAATCTTTTGTGATTCATGTTTCCTTATCTACTTTTTCTATTGAATTTATGGGGTGGCATTGGTTAATAAAATTATGTAGTTGTCAGATGTACAATTCCATAATACATCATCTTTGTACTGATATTGTATATTGTACTATATGTCTGACACCCCAAGTCAAGTCTCCATCACCATTTATCTCCCTTAACCTCCCCCAAACCCCTTTCCCTCTGATAATCACCATACTGTTGTCGGTCTCTATGAAATTTTTTTGGTTTTGTTTGTTTTTTGCTTAATTCCTTACCTTTTTCACCTAGCCTGGCAACCCCTCTCCCCTCTGACAGCTGTTAGTCTATTCTCTATCTAAGAGTCTGTTTCTATTTTTCCCAAATAAATCACAGTTTTTGTAAAGACAAAGTGCATTTGAACAGTTACAAAGGTATTTCACTGAAGGGGTTTTAGAAGGTTAATGTATTTGTTCATTAAAAAAAATAAAATCAGTCCTAGCCAGTTTGGCTCAGTGGATAGTGTATTGGCCTATGATCTGAAGGGTCCCAGGTTTGATTCTGGTCTGGGGCACATGCACCAGTTGCAGGCTCAATCCCCAGTAGGGGGCATTAAGGGGGCAGCCAATCAATGATTCTCTCTCATTATTGATGTTTCTATCCCTTTCCTTTTCTCTGAAATCAATAAAAGTATATTTTTAAAAAATCAATGAAAACAAACATGTACACTAAAGAAAAATTACGATTATCTAATAATGTAAATGAAGCATCTCCATTTAAAAATGTTTAATACTTTTATCTCAATCAATGACACCAATGGAAATTTTATTTAACTACCAACCAGAACTTATTCTAGTGATTTTATCAACTTCCATCAACACTTTACAACTTACCTTCCACATGCTATCTGGGTTACTCTATTCCCAAGGAGCTCAGCCACCAAACAGGGTTTTAATTCATTCTGTGTTGAATTGTGACCAAGCTGCCCATGTTTTCCAGCACCAAAAGTAAACAGGAGCCCATCCTAAGGAAAGGGAAGTTCAAATCAGATTCTAGAGAAAGGCAACACAGAAGTTGTATTTATTGGTGCAAAGGCACCATCCTATCTAATAAAGAGGGAATATGCTAATTGACCCTCACACCATTGCAAAGATGGCAGTGCCCACAGCCAATGAGGGAAAATGCTAATTGACTGCTAAGCCCTCAAAGATGGCAGCACCCAGTTCCCTCAGCCCCGCCAGTGCCTGCTTCCGGAGTCCCCCAGTCCCCTCAGTCCCCCAGCTGGCCAGGGTCAGCCCAAGGTGCAGGCAAGCCTCACCTAGCGGCTGCCCAGCTGCCCAGGGCCAGCTGAGGCTTGCGTTGCTGGCACTGGCAGCAGCAGAGCTGTGGTGGGGCATCACTTTCCCCTGTTCATAGGGCCGCCTCCCCCCCTGAGGGCTTCTGGACTGTGAGAGGGGGCAGGCCAGGCTGAGGAACCCCCCTCGCCCCCCAGTGCATGAATTTTCATGTACCGAGCCTCTAGTCAATGAATAATTAAAAAGTACTGTCAGGCCTGGCCAGTATTCTCAATGGTTAGAGTCTCAGCTCACCTACTGAAGGGTCTTCAGTTTGATTCCTGATCAAGGGCATATACCCGGGTCAATCCCCACCCTGACTGGGGCATGTGCGGGAGGCAACCAATCAATGTGTCGCCCTCCCATTGATGTTTCTCCCTCCCTCCTCCTCCCTCCCTCCCACTCTCTCTAAAAATCAATGGGAAAAATATCCTCCTGGGAGTATTAAAACAAAACAAAACAAAGCAAAGAAAAGCAGTCAAAGCAAAACCCACAATTATCAGGAAGACATCCTGCTTGTGGGAAATGATGACCTTTCTTCCCTGGGAAATACTACCTGCCCACACCTAGGTGTTCTCGTGTTTTCCCCACTGCAAAGTGTTCTTCCAAAATTACAGTCCAGGAGACAAAGGACACACACCTTTGTGAGCAAGGCAGTGTGAGAGCCACCACAAGCAAGAAATTCAACTTTCTGGCTGTCCAGTGCTTCAATAAGGGAAGGACAATCTTCATCTGTACGAGGGAAAGAACAGTTGAAGTGGCCAAAAGGAAATGCTGAGTTTCACACTAGAGTTCTCTGCTACCGGTAAAATACCTGGGCTACAATTCCCAACACATTCTGACCAGAAAGGCTGTACGTTGGTGTATTTAGGCTTAAAGGTGGGCATGGGGCAACGGTCAAAGGACTCAGCTGTGAACGTATCAAGCCACTTCCCAGGCCTATTCTCTTTCTAACCTGGCCCGTTAATTAATTAACTTTAATTGCAGGATATCTGATATTTTCCATTCCCATTGAGAACTATCCTTTTTAATAAACATTATTTTTTTTCTTTTCAGTTCTCTACTACGTTGTCCTTGCCTCACTCTACCTCTCCTCTTTTTCATGATTATTTTCTTGTCAAATCACTTAGAGATTCAACTAAAACAGTTTAACTGCCCTTTATTTCTTTGCCTCCTTTGAATATTTTTCTAACTTTAACTTATGGGTTCTCCTGAGAAATTAGCAAAGGGCTACATCAAGAAGAAATGCAGTGTTTGACCAATAACTCAGGAGATAACAGGAATATTACCAGAGTTGATAAATCAATGGATTCTGCTACACCTGAAAACTCTAACAAGGTGTTTGGGTCAATAAGAAATTCTGCCATCTGCTTTGTGGCGGTAGTTCAATAATGGAAATTACTGTACGTGTTTTATAGTGCATACATCCATGTGTGTATGTACAGATGTAATGAATAGTTTTTAGGATATGATTAGGATCAGTTCCTAAGATAGAGTTTTAGTATCCTTTTGTCATAATATAATTATGTTAATAGACATGTAAGTGCACATGGAGTTTGAAGATCATTTCATGCAAGCTCATCACTTTACAGGAAATGAAAGTAAGGCCTAGAGAAAAGCTGGCTAAGGGACTGGGTAAGGCCCTGCAGTTAGTTAACTGTGAGGTGGGAATCATAATCCAGGTGTTCCAATCCCGTCTGATACTCTTTCCCTTTTTCCACATGGCCCTGACATGTCTCAATTATAGCAAGGACTTCCACACTATGCATGACTTTTAAACCGATTCTGTCCTGAAGACAGAGAGAGAACCAGGAAGAACAGTGACAAGAAAAGTGAGGACCTGAAACATTTTTAAAAGGGAGATCTGTGTTAATTTCATCACGCATCTAACAATATGTCTGTTGATAATATGAGTTTTAAAATGTGTTTCCATACTGTCAGTGTGGCCCAGGCCTAGTTGTCCACAATCATTTCTTCCCCACGAGTAAATGTTTCCAGACATGGATAAAGCCATGCTGTGGGCTTTTCCTGCAGAAATCTGAGCCACGGGGACTCCTGAGAGGTGCTCCACAAGCTGTGGTGTGGGGGTCGAGTCAAGTATTCTCCCAAGTCCAAGTTGGCCATCTAAGTTCTGTCCCCAGGCAAAAAGCTCACCACCTGGACATAAACAAAGAAAATGCTGTCTTATTGAGTTTAAAATGCATCAGACATAACCCTATGGCATTTCTATGCAATCCCTATTATACTATCATAGTCTCTTACATTCAAACTGGCAGGACTTCTCAGATCCCATATTTCTGAGCCAGAAAAACTACAAGAATCTTCTTTTTAGCAGTAACAGTTGGTAGTGTTACGAACTGACTGTATCCCTCCCCAAATTCATATATTGAAATCCTAATCCTCCATGTGATATTAGGGGGTGGGGCCTTTGGAAAATGATTGGGATTAGATGAGATCAGGAGGTGGAGCCCTCAGGAATGGGATTAGTGCCCTTATAAAAGAGCCCCCAAGAGCTCTTACACTCTCCTCATCAGGCACCAAATCTGTTGGCACCTTGAACTGGACTTCCAGCCTAAAGAACTGTGTGAGAGGTTTCTGTTGTTGAAGCCACCCGATTTGTGACATTTTTGTTACAGAAGTCTAAACAGACAAAGTCAAGTAGAATGAAGTTATCTGCACATATCATAATTAAGTTAAAAAATATTTTTAAAAAACCCACAGGATAAGGCCATGAAACACAAAAACATTGTACATCTGGATAAAAACCATTCTTTTCTCTCTGCCTCCCACTCCTTAATGAGCCTAAAGATCCTACATAATAAAAGCCTAATATGCTAAGTGTCTGGTCGTTCATTCAACCAATCAAAGTGAAATAGGCTAATGATATGCTAAGGCCACTCAACCACTTGCTATGTTGTGCACTGACCACCAGGAGGCAGACACTCCGACTGGTAGGTTAGCTTGCTGCTGGGGTCCAGCCAATCAGGACTGAGCGATACCAGCCGGATACGCCCTGGAGCCCTCCTGCATTCCCTCCCAAGCCCAGCGATAGTGCACCGGTGGGGTCTCTCAGCCTGGCCTGCGCCCTCTCACAATCCAGGAACCCTCAGGGGATGTCAGAGAGCCTTTTCGACCTGATCCCGCTCAACGCAGGAGCTGCCCCCTGGTGGTCAGTGCACTTCCACAGGGGGAGCGCCACTCAGCCAGAAGCCAGGCTCAAGACTGGTGAGCGCAGCGGTGGTGGCAGAAACCTCTCCCACCTCTGCAGCAGGGCTAAGGATGTCCGACTGATGGCTTAAGCCTGCTTGGACATCCCCCGAGGGCTCCGGGACTGCAAGAGGGCACAGGCACAGCTGAGGGACCTCGCCCACCCACCCCCTCTGCCCCCACGCACATATTTCATGCACCGGGCCTCGAGTCTTAAATAAACAACTTAAAAATACATTGGAAATTGCAGCACAATATCTTTAAAGAAACAGCATCTTCTTTCATTAATTGAATATATTTTTCAAGAAAAGTTATTAGATGTTATCGAATGGAGTTGACAATATCTGATGGAGTCTGAAAAAATATATCAGAGAATTAACACTTACTGAAAATCCCAGCAACATACTGTGCAAGATCTGGAGGCAAAGACTTTCCTTCAAACCTAATTATTGTGGGCCATTCCGCCACCAGGAATATAACGATGAGCATGCAGTTCCATTTCTTGTTTCCTCAACCTTTCTTTCTCCTACATGTGATTTACTGGTAATAAATCCTGAACATCTCTTTCCCCCCACACCACTAGACCCTGGGGTTCTTGAAGGTGCAATGTGTTTGCTTGTCTTCATAACCTGAACATGATGGATATTAAAAATTACATGTTTCTTTATGAATAGATGGAGAAAAACAATCAGGTCATTTTTTCCCAATACAAGTTCATACTCTCAAACTTTCATAGGGCCTTCAGGACAGGTCAGATTCTTGATTATTTACTTCCCTTGATTCCTAGCTTCCATTCAGTTTGTGTGTATGTCAATCCTACACATTAATAAAAAATGTTTGACTCTGAATTCCTATCACTCTCCTGTCTTAATTATTCCTCCACGGTCAAGTTTCTTTAGGAAATAATTCATTTCGGTGTCTGATAAGAAACAGGAAATAATAAAGAGCTTAGAGAGAATCCCTAATTCAAAAGGTAATGTTAAAACACATCAGGGGCTGCAAACTGGCCACAGAAGCAGAGCCAAAGATTCTGAGCTCCTACCATGGGAGTTGGAAGAGCACTAAGAAAAAGGGAGAAGGTTTTAGAAAAGGGTGGCCCATGCTGGTCCTGATTCCAGACAGAATGATTTTGACTATTCAGAATATTTTCATTGTTTCATATTTGAAAAATAAAAACATAAAGCTGTTGAATTAATCTCTAGGCCCAAGATGGAGTCAGCCCTGCCTGGCATGCCATGCCAATCAAATTTTTGTGTTTCTATAAATGCTCCCCTTGACCAGAAACACAGTACATCCACTCAGCCAATCCCCAAACATCAAGCCAACCCGGCTATTTCCTTGATCTTTCTAAATAATGTGAGATTTACAACCCCCGGCAATCATGCCCTGTTCCCAAGTTTGACCTTCTAATGCTCTATGAAACTTGCTCTTGCCCCGAGTCCATTGGAAGAAGGCTCCATTGCTTGTGAGGCACTTTTCTCCCCAATTCATGGGTCATTTTCCTCTGAATAAAGGACATCAAGCTCATTACTAAATTGTTTTACTTTTGTTTTCT